TGACTAATGTACCTAAAATATGCAAAACAAGTTCAAAAAAGTATAATTTCAGGAAAACTGCCCACTGAAACATTATCCTGCTATTTCAACTATTGCAAGCATGTAGTAAGACTTCAACCAGAGCACAGGCACATTTCTGTTCTTTAAATATGAGCTTCTAATAACAATAAATATACACCAAAAAAAGCATATCTGGGTGAGGAAATAAATGAACCATGCTGTGGGATTCCTGCAGGGCATTGTATGGTGAGGATTGCGAATCAATTAGTTTTAGAATAGACACAGATGTCTACGATGGCCATGCAGATAGTCCCCATCATCACTGCATTTTAATTTGTCCATACACTGTTCGATAGTCATTCGTAAACCTTCCATGTATGGTCTTTCGAACGAAAATCGAACAGTTGATGGGAACCCAACGTTTTTTTTACTGTAATCCCGCTCGAATTTTCTCAAAGGGTGAGGCTGGAAAAGTTTTTTCGAATTGAATGAAAATCGATGGATTAGTGGCGTTTTTGTATGAAAAACAAGAACACCGCACATACGCAAACGAAAATTTGTTCTGTCGATCATCAAAATCCGGTGAGTTAGTATTGCTAATGAACGATTATCGAAATCGGCATTGGTCTGCGCTTAATGGGCTATTTGAGCTAGAATCTAACGAGGCTTCTTGGCAGCAACGAAAATTTCCGATCAAAAATATATAGGTGTATGGCCAGCCTTAGGCTTTCACCATAATGATGACAGACTATTAATTTTAAAAGCCTGCAGTGGTATGACATTGATCAAAAAGGGGGCCCACAATGCAATCCCCCTAATTAACTCAACGGTTACTTTTGACCAATTTTCGACATTCTAACAGTTTTTATTGACAACTATGTTTGCTTGCTAACACGTGTTTCATGTGTTGCAATGCACATTACCACACCTTATGTTCACCCATTCATTTCCAAAAAACTTCATTGGCAGATATTTGGGCCCCATTACAAATACATTGGATGCCCCCACAAACACATGGACAGCGAATTAAGTGCATTAAGAGGCATGAAAACATGCTTCAATCCGCGTGCTAATGTGCCTGCATAGATGTGAATCCAGCCTCAAGCTGAGCAACCAGGATACAACTAGTTGCTCCAAATCTGGAGAAAAATACTAGGATGGTTCACAAGAAAAGCGCACTTGCACACCAATTCAGAATGTCTTTTTACCCTAGATCTGTTTATCACTAGCGGAACACCAAAACTGGATATACTTGACTGCTGCCATATCTCAAACCTTATGGTATGTTTACATTTTGCTAGACACACATTAGCAGCGAAAAACAACCTGTTCTACTATCAGAATAATAATAATGGAATCATAAAGCTGTATATTGACCTCCTGGACTACTCAATGTGTACATAGTAACCAGGAATAAACAATATTCCAGGGATGCAGCAATGCAGTATATTTGCACAGCATGAATTATGAAAATGAGTCTTGGCTCCTAAGCATGTGCCTGACTACGTATGATTGTATCTCTTATCACAAACTTATCACAAAAATAAATATTATAATGTAAGCACTGTGCTGTTTAATCAGCAGCAAAATGTGATATTCAAAAAGTTATATACTCAGTAAAGACTATAACCAAATATCAAGAGAGTGAGAGAGAGGGAGAAAGAGAGAGGGAATAATGTTGATGCAATTGTTACTAGAACAAGACAGGTGTAAAAGACCTGCCATTGCAAGAGATGATCCGGGATCTTTGTAAATTTCTGATTGTTTCCATGCTCAGATTGACAACACAACTATCCCTCCCTCTCGCCATGCCAAGGTGCTAGGTGTCATCCTTGACTCGGACCTCACCTTTCTTCCCCACATCCAATCACTATCCAAATCCTGCCGCCTTCACCTCCGTAACATCATCCACGTACTTGTTATCTCTCGCCTCGACTATTGCAACTCCCTCATTATTGGCCTACCTCTACACAGGCTATCCCCCCTTCAGTCTATCATGAATGCTGCTGCTAGACTCATCCACCTAACCAACCGCTCAGTGTCTGCAACCCCCCTCTGTCAATCCCTGCACTGGCTTCCAATCACCCAAATGATAAAATTCTAAATATTAACAACCATTTACAAAACCATCCACAACTCTGCCCCCAACTATATCTCCAACCTTGTCTCAAAGTATCACCCTAACCGTCCCCTTCGCTCTTCCAAAGACCTCCTGCTCTCTAGCTCCCTCATCAACTCCTCCCATGCTCCCCTCCAGGAATTCTCTAGAGCAGTGGTTCTCAACCTGTGTAACCTCAGGACCCACATTTGTCCTCGGTCATTAAGTCGTGACCCAAGTCGCAATGCAATGGAACGCACAGCTTTGCGGTAGCACGCGTTCCGGTGCAGGCAATAGAACTATGGGTGGGAGGTGCATTTTTGATGCCATTACAAAAATCCACCCACTCTCCATACCTTATGGATCCTCATCCTGGGGTCCAGTGTGGCCTGCTGTGCTGTGATGGATCTCCATCCATACGTGCAATGCTGGTACAGCTCCCTTGCATGCCCTGTAGACGTGGTGGGAGCCAGAATGTGACATCACTCCAGTCCAGGCACACAAGGTAGTTGTATGTATTGATATAGCTCCCTCACGGCCATAGCCCCAGCCCATCTCACCTAAAGGAGAACACTCTGCACTGGGCAGCATATTTTGAATGGCTGCTTGACGCGAGAACTTACAGTGCTGCGAAAGGGGGAGGCTGAGGAGCCTCTCACCTAAAAAAGTGGAAAGCACACGTCGACCCACTAAACACAGGGTCGCGATCCACTTTTGGGTCACGACCCACCAGTTGAGAACCAAGGCTCCGGAGTGTCTCCCATCCTCTAGAACTCCTTTCCCCAACCTGTCCATCTATCTCTTACTCTGACTGCCTTTAGGCAAACCCCAGAAGACTCATCTTTTCAGGGAAGCCTCAAACTAACCACTGAACTATCACTTTCTCAAGCATTTGATCCCCACACAGCTAACTTGAATTGTAATTGTAATGTCTTCCTTATATTGTAAAGTGCTGCACAAACTGTTGGCCCTATATAAATCCTGTATAATAATAATAATTATTATTAGTAGTATTATTATTATTATAATGCTGTCTACCCAGTTACAGGAACATACATAAAGGCTCCTGAATGAGTCAGATGACAACACAGTGGCCATAGTATGATAATGTCCCTTCAGTAGACTTGCAAGACTCACATTACTTATGGGCCCAGCATGCTGCTGTATGCCAGTGGTTGTCAATTTACAAGGTATCGGGGGCCTCAAATGCAACTCCTGATCTCTCCATATAGCAACATATAATATTTATATGTAACGCAACAAAAGACTGCCATGTAGTGAAGACCTACTAGAGCAAATGATTATAGATTATTCTACAAGACAGATTGGAGACTAAATTCATGCTGTAGGAGACAGTCAGAGACTAGACACATGTTACTTAAAACTGCTAGAGATTACTGTTATTAAAGACCTTCTTTACAAATCAATGCTCCCTCTACTGACTATCAGGCTTGAAGGGATGCACTTCAAACACCAAAGGGCCACATTCAATATATATTATATGTACTGTTACAGAAGACTGAAGACTAAAAACTCACGAGAGGAAATGATTAGAGACTGTTCTTCAAGAGTAGTTGAAGACTTAGGTAATGCTGTACGAGACAGTCAGAGACTAGGGACATGTTACATGAAACTGCTAGAGATTACTGTAATTAAAGGTCCTCTTTAGAAATAAATGCTCCCACTACTGACTGCACTCCAAACACCAAAGGACCACAGTTTGGGCACTTTCAGGGTATGCAGTGAGAGACTACCACTGGCTACCTTTGGCATCGATGGGAAACTTGTTTTTTGTACACAAATTATCTTAGGAAATTCTTTAACAAGAATCAGCAGATAATTATTTATAGCTGGCCGTTGGCTGATGCCCAAGAGAAGAGGCAGAAAGCAATAAGCCTGGCACATGCACCTACAAGTAAGCAGAAGATGTAAGGACATGTTGTGAATTGTGACAGGGGGAGAAGTATAGGTCTAATCCACATGATTGGTGGTTAGGCGGACACAGGTGAGCTTGTGTTTGACAACATAACACAAGAATACATTTTTTATGGGTGGTAGGGTACGCAATAGGTTTCGACATACTATGTAAGTAGGTGTGTTCTCTGGTAATTACAGCAGACGGGTGTGTATTAGGAGACAAAGTGCACCGAGGAAGTTCTGTACACATAATTATATAACTGGCAGCATTAAAAGTGATGGACTGACAAGATCTATTAAAAGATTTGATTCCTTGAATATTTAAAACTATACATCCTCACAGAGGGGAACTACTGTATCTGCTCTGTATATTTAAAGTGGCTGAGCTGGTCATATTAGCATTAGTTTAAGTGCTGTTTATTGTTAGTTGAATGGAATTTATGAAGGTGATCTAGTGATTGCACCCTAAGGCCTGACCAGAATATATGTGAGGTGTAATGACAAAGGTCTACGGAAAAAACAGCTGAGATGGTGGGCCAGAACTAGTCAAAGTGCGCTGAATATTTGACGCAGGCGAACCTGCTTTTTTTTGGGGGGGAGGGGGGTGCCAAGTGGAAGGGTTTAATATGAAAGATGCAACAAGTGCAGTCATTGTAAACAAAAATCCCAAGTGCGATTTTTCACACAAATAGTCTCCCAGTTTGCGCCTCCAAAAAAATTGTAAACAAATTAAGTTTCCCAAAATTTGTCGCAATGGAGGTGCGCCCCGAGGATGATGGCGTATGACAGTTACATATTCTACTATGTGCCAAATAAACCATATGCGCTGCAACATGTGCCAAAGTAAGACAATTGTGTGACAATCTTTTCATAAACAACCGCAATCTTAGTTCATCTGTCGCAATGTTTTAGAAAAAAAGGTAGGACTATCCCTAACAAAGAATAAGAGCAATGTGACAGGTAAACAAAGAGCTGAAGGACTTACGGACTGGCACCTTCCTGTGGTCCAGGTGGGATACAAGGTGATGGAGGGATGCCAGACGGCGCTGTAGGCGGGCACTGCGTTCTCCTAGGGTAACCGCCTGCCCATGGATGCTGCTAAAGATGTCCTCCGCATGTCTAGACAGATCAGACAGCTGCTGGATGATGCGCAGCATGGAATGGACACTGACTTCTTCCAGGGAGGCTAACACCAAGGCTGATCCATCTGTTTGCCCATCAGTGCCACCCAACCTACACACCTGGGTAGGCTGCACTGTCCTCAGATGAAAAGGCATGGCCAAGCAGCAGGTTTCAAGTTGTATCCTAGTGAAGACACTCTATCTACATCCACACAGCTGGCATCAATTCCAGGTATTGTTATGACATGTGCCAGCCATCCAATTCAGGGTTTGATCATAACAGCAGTAGCCTCAGAGAGGGTCATCTATTGTGACTCACAGACCATCAGACTTCATTTGTATTCCTGACAGAGTTATCCCAAAGAAGAGCCGGTGATCAATAGGCACAGATTGAAATCCACACTCCTATATCCCAGGCAAAGCAGACAAAGCTTCCCATTGGAGAGTGTGCTTCTCCTAAAAGATCCGACATGTGAAGAATCAGCTGAGATGGGTGCTGTGATCCCGAGGATATTCCCTTTAATCCTAGGGATGATGTTGTACAAGCTCCGTGCAGGGGCGCAGACAAGTCACAGCATCCTCAGTAAACTTTCAGCGATCTGCTAGAAGAAGACGAGGGGGGAACTTAGCAGGCCAGCCGGTGAAGCTGTGCCTTGTGTTTCAAATGAAACAGGAAAAGAGGCAGTGTGGATCCCTCCCTCCCTCCAGCTCCTTCTTCTCCACCTCCTGTGTGTATAGTGAGCACACTTCTAGGGAGGGAGGGGAAGGAGGGGGACTGTCCCAGGCAGGGAAGGCAGCCACAAAGGACAAGGCAGACACCTGTAGATCAGGAGCTCCTCTCTCCCTCATATACACTGCACACATACAGGGACCGCTGTGTACATAAGATTGTACAATCTGTATTCTTATAACATCCGAACCCTTTACCTTCTACAAGACAGTCTAATGAATACTTCTCCTCCGTTAGCTATAGACAGCACCAAAACAGACCACTGTCCTCACAGGCTCCTCCTGATGGCTGCACAGTGAGGGGAATGTATCTAATCCGGAGTCGTTGCCTATAGTAACCAATCAGCTTCTCTCTTCAGCTTGTCCAGTTAAGCTTTGAAAATGAAAGAGAGAAGCTGATTGGTTGAAATGCACATCTGCTTAAGGTCTTGTCTGCTCCAGTTTTGAGAAATTTCCCTCAGTATGTGCCAAAGATCTGCATGTGGCCCCAAGGCTGCAGATTGAGCAACATAGGTCTATAGCCTTTTAGGAACACATATGCAGGGACACGTGAATGATCTGCACAGTGACGTTTTTTCATATACTGTAATATGATTAGCATAGCACCAAAACAGACCACTTTCTTTAGGAGTCCCTGATGGCTGCACAGTAAGTGCCAAAGGTCTATATGTGGCCACAAGGCTGCAGCGGGGTTACTAGGGCTCTATGGCCACACAGTAAGTGCCAAAGGTCTACATGCGGCTCTCAGGTTGCAGGGTGGGCACCAGGGCTCTATAGCCTTCAAGGAACACATTCACAGGGACAGTGACTGATCTGCACAGTGACATTTATTTATATAATATTATTAGCACCAAAACAGACCACTTTCTTTAGGTGTCCCTGATGGCTGCACATTAAGTGCCAAAGGACTGCATGCAGCCCCAAGGCTGTAGGTTGGGCACCAGGGCTCTATAGCCTTCTAGGAACACATATACAGGGACACTAGTGAATGATATGAACAGTGGCGGTTATTCTAATAATATGATTACCACCAAAACTGACCACTTTCTTCAGAAATCCTGGATGGTTGCACAGTAAGTGCCAACGGACTATATGTGGCCCCAAGGCTGCAGCGGGGGTACTAAGGCATTATAGCCTACTGGGAACATATATACAGAGACACTAGTGACTGATCTGTATAGTGACATTTATTCCTCTTATATCATTAGCATCCAAACCCTTTACCTACTAGAAGCCAGTCTAAATAATATTATCCCTCATTGGCTCTAGTAAGCACCACAACAGACCACTGTCTTCAGCAACCCTTTATGGCCACACAGTAAGTGCCAAAGGTCTGCATGCGGCCCCAAGGCTGCAGGTTGGGCACCAGGGCTCTATAGCCTTTTAGGAACACATATGCAGGGACAGTGACTGATCTGCACAGTGACATTTATTCTTATAATATGATCAGCATCCAAACCATTTACCTACTAGAAGACAGTCTAAAAAATACTTTTCCTTCATTGGCTCTAGTAAGCACCAAAACAGACCACTGTCTTCAGGGGTTTTTGATGACCGCACAGCAAAGGTTGACCATATACTGGTAGATTTTCAAACAAACTTACATATGAAAAATCTCATCAGAACATTGCATAATGCCATTCAAAATATTGTTTGATTTTAACATTCGATTTTGGAATGAATGGTGTTTTTTGAACGGAAACTACATTCACTGGTAAAATTTTGTTTGCTCATAAAAAATTTCCATCCTGCTCCTTCGATTTTTAGGTCACTACGGTCATTCAATCCACATTTTAGAGCAAAATACCCCAAACCTGCATTCAGAGAGGAGCTTAATTAACTGGCATCATTTATGTGCATATGTTGCTAAATGCGTAAACAGACTTTTTCTTTTTCACCTGTCTTGTTGAGCCCCCCATAAACAACTGAGGCTCTTTAGGAAGTGCTGGCTTTTTCTATTTTATGAAGTTTTATTGCTGTTCTTGTTCCATTACAAAGGTGTAACACCCCTATCTGAAAGTTAAACAAATTTAGTTGTCACTAGAAAAGGAATAGAGGGGAAATCTACCAATAGGGACACTTTTTCCAGTACAACAATCTAAGAGGTGAATTTTCAGAAAGATTTCCTCCCTCTTAGGACTCATTCACACTACTGTATAGGCAGTGATCTGAGTAGTTCACACTATGTACAGTGAGCGCCAGGGCACACAGAAAACAGTGGTTTTCTATGTGCATTGTTCACATTGCAACACTGATTTGAGGTGGGTTGCAGTGCGTGAAATGCACCAAAGCTCACCTGAAGTCACCATATGTCACCACAACGCAACTCATCGGCATTGCGTTAACTTTAATCAAATGTAATTTTATGACACTTCAATAAAGTTATTAAAAAATAATGTAAACAGTGTGATGCGCTGAAACAGCACAAAACACTGCCTTCATACACAACAGACAGGAAACCACTGTGGGCTAGTGTAAATGGGCCCTTACTGTTGTATTAACAGCATAGGAAGTACAGGGAAATCTACTGGATGGTACACAGGTTTTTTCTTTTAATGGCACCCATTTAAAATGTTTATTTTTTTATTTTTGGGGGGCTGTCAGTAAAGCCAACCTTGCACTACCACTTTAAGCAGCTCTCAGTATCAAAAGTTACCGTAGATATGGATCAGAGAGTTTAGAAAATAAATTTGAATCTTCAGCGTGAAATGTCTACATTTATAGCAAGGTTTTCTTGTTGGTTATTAAATCCAAGAACTAACTTAGCAGAAAAAAAAAATACTTTTTTCCAGAACGCTTAATTGCTTTTATGGTGGACAATTTTCCATTTTAAATCCAGTGTAATCCCAAATAAAACATGAACTAGTAAAACCAGTAAGTCACCATACATGTACATGCCCAAACGAGAGGTAACTCCACTCATTTTTAATAGGATTTTAAATGTTTAAACTCATAATTAAAGTAGATAGACGTGCACAAGCATGAGAGCCCTGAGGATTTGTCTGTTGTTAGCAGTTGTGTGTGTCTGTCCACAAAGTCAAGGTAGCCACATTGATTTGCTAATAAATAAATCAATGTATGCATGTGGGGTGGGACATAGAGGGATCGGAGATAGGTGCAGATCCAGCAGGCAGGGCTGACAGTGATGGTTGAAATTTCAGTGTAGGAAAGGCACATTGTTGTCAGCCCAAACAGGAAGTTAGGAGCACACTTGATTTTTCGCAGGATCAACAGATATTATTCTGTACATGCAGCATTTATAAAGGGATAAGGCATGGGGAAATGTGCACACGTATGCACTGAATATGGGGTTTCTTTTCTCATACTTTGCCCCGTTATACACTTTAAAGGCTCCTTCACACAAGCCAGACAATACTCAAAAGTGCAATTATTTTGAGTACTGTCTAAGCTGGGTGTCATAAAACTTGCATGTTCCCAGCAAACATGTATTTTTGTCAATGTTTGATCAATGGAGATCTAAAAGTGCAAGCAGTGGTCGAAGCAATGGCTAGTAACCCCAGTGATGTGTTACAGTCTGGAAGCATATGGTAAATATAGAACTTGAGGATGGAACTTACAGAATACCAGAGGGGGACATAGGGTTGCTGTAGGCAAAAAAAGAAGTTTGGCAACCAGAGGCAACATCAAGGGGTACATTGATGGTCAGGAACTAGAGATGGTAGGTGTCAGAGCCAAGACCTCAATGGGAGACTACACAAAATAGAACACCACCAGAAATCGAGACAACAGGATAGGTGACAGAAGGAAGCTGTGTCACTTTTTGAGCAATAAAAGGTAGACAACAACAAAGGCTGGATCTGGGAGTGGCAGGTCTTCACCGGTGCTTCTAGGGGTTGACAGTGAATGGAGCTGTGAAGCAATATCAAACTGTGGTCCTTTGAAAAACCTCATTTGAAACGGTGACAGACTAGACAAACCAAGAGCAACATGTAGAAACTGACATCAGAACTGAATTGAACAGACAAGCTTTTTTGAAGGCAGATAAGGCTATGCTTGGGAAATAGACAAGTGTAAGTGCCCTTTAACATGGATGGCATCTGCTCCAATCAGCAAGTGATCCGTGCACAGACCCCCTGCTGTTCGGAGCAATACAGAACGAATGTCACTCTTGCGACGTCCGTGTCCATTAAGTTTTTTCCCCAACTTGCAATGGAGGACAAAAAATGAACTAACTAGACCCATGTTAGGTCTATGGGGAGTCGACTGTAAGCTGACCATTTACTTCTAATTACCATTTATCCATCCCATTCAGGTCCACAAAAACAGAATTCCGTTTCCTTTTTTTTTTTACATAGACAGACTCAGAGGTAATCGAATGTAAACAGACGCAGGTCCATTTACATGCGACTTCCATAGAACAGGGGTCACTAAATGGAGAACCACGGTCCGGGCACGGACCAAGTGGTGGTTCTGGCCAGACTGTGATCACCGACCCGCACTGCATTATGGCTGCAGGACAATGGATACAC